ACTTGTGGCCATGCAAGCTGAGATCAAAGCACTCGGTGATGAATTTGACGCATACCGTGCAAATTGGCTAGGAGCCAAGGTCAGATTTGTCAGAATGGCGAAGGGATTCACTTCAAATGTTGCAGCTTCAATGCAATGTGAAATTCCTCAGGCTGAAGCATATGCTCAGCCAACTGAAGAACATGCAAGTACAGCTGATGAAAATCAGGTTGTTGATGATTCTGAAAGCACGAGGGCTGATGAAAAAAATACCAGCCACTGAAGAAACTGCCAGGGCAACCCCTTGTGTTGCGCCTGAAGATCAAGCCAGGCCAGTTGAAGAATCTGTTGCTGCGCATGAAGAAACTGCACCAATTTCCTCTGCTCCTCCTGCACAGACGTCAAGTCCTGCCCTTCCTTCTGCACCAGAAGTGAAGAAAACCAAAGCTACAGAGCGAGCAGCTGTGAAGAAAAGGAAAGCATCTGCTTCTTTAGAGTCTTCAGCTCCGAAGAAAGTGAAGACTTTGAAAAGCTCATATGCAAATCCCATAAATGTTGTTCCTCTATCAAACATGCCATCAAAGGAGATTGTTCCCTTTCGTGAGCAATATGTGATTCCAAGTGAATCTGATGAAGAATGTCCTTCTGCTGCCACGTCAGAGCAGATTGATGAAGAAATTGAAGTGGACAACATCACTTCAACTCCATTGGTATCATCGCTCATGCCTTAGTTCACTGCTGAAGAGGCTGGCGTTGAAGAAATAGATGATGAAGATGAAGACGTGGATATTGGGTCTACAACTCTGATTCTGAATGATGACCACTGGGAAAGTCATCACCCCAATTCACCACTCTACACCCCTCTGCAATAGACTCCTCAGTCCCCGTCTCAAACTAAAGAAATTCACACGGGCTCTGAAGAACATCAAGCTTCTATTCTCACTATTCCTGAAGAAGTTCCAGCCACTAGTGCTGATGTAAATGTTGTTGAAGAAATGGAGACCCAGGCTACTGTTGATGACCTTGTTTCTGAAATTCCTCAGCTTGCAGCTCCAGAGTCTGTGATTCAAGAGGTTGTGATGATTTCAACTGACAATCCTCAGCCCAAGCCAGAGAATCCTTACTCCAAGAAGCAGAAGTTGAAGGCTGATGATTTCTTCAATGAGCACATTTTCTTCACTGACTACAATCCTTATGACTTCGCTCATCTTCCTCGCAAGCGTTTTTGGATTGCTAGCCAGATGAACTTCTATTCCTCACTGTTGTTTGATAAGGACAAAGTTTTTGACCATGAGCATATTCCTCATGTTGATATGGTGTCTCTACCTTGCTTCACCCTAGTCCTCAGTGTTCTTCATGACGCTGGGCTGCTCAACTTCTGCATCGACATCTGCGACTGGAATGAAGAACTCATTCTTCAGTTCTATGCCACGTTGCATATCACGGACAATGTCGAAGATGTGAATTCATGGGTGTTGGACTGGATGACAGAAAACACTCACTATAAAGCTCCGGCTTCTGAATTGCTTCATGCCATCCCAGTCAGTCCTCCTCCTGAAGGTGCATTGCTCATTTATGCTGAACCTGAACTCTCCAACCATCTGATGCAAATGCTGATGAAGCCATTGAAGCCAGGCCAAGCTCCAAGGACCAAATTCCTCGTCAAGGAATTGCTCTATGTGCCAAGGACTGTGTACATGATATTGACCAAAACCCTCAGCCGATCAAAGGCCACAACTCTAATGAAGAAGAGGTTGTTGGCATCATGAAGAATCTGTTTTTCAACATCATACATGGTATTCCTATCAACTACCACGATTTCTTCATGAGGATTTTGGTCAATGTTGCTCCTTTGAACTGAAGCCTTACGCTCCCTGGATCATGAGATTCATCAGATCAAGGTCTTCAATCAACTACAAGGCTGACGTTCTCAATCATGGTAGCTAGTTGCCCCCAATAGAGGTCCTCAAACGGCATGTTTCCTCAGCTGATGAGAAGGGCAAGGCTGCTGTTATTGATGAAGGCACTCGTCCATTGGATGGATAGTTTTGCAAAGCTGCATCCTATTCCACCAATGATGACTCTTCCACTCATGACACTGTCGTAAATGCTTCAAAGCAAAATTCTCAAGCCACTTCTCCATGTGTGATGATTGATCGTGAGCTTCTCCTCAATCTTCATCAGAAGGTTGATCGCCACCACAAGTGGGCCAAGAGACATTTTGGTGCTATTCTTCAGAACATGACTGTTACATAAAATTCAATGAAGAAGAACCACTACTTGCATCAAGTCTTCGACCGCACTTGGGCCATACTCTCTAGTCTGTATTCTACTAAAGATCTCAAGGATATGGACTTCCAACAGGACTTTGACTGGTCACATCCACCTTCGAAGAAATTCAAGAAGGTCAAAGTTCCTCAGCTCGTCACAAGTTCATATTCTTCATCGCGCGAGACGGACTCAACTGAAGAATTGGACGACACCACGGTAGGCCATACTTCAATGGATGACCCCAACAACGCTGGTGCTCCTCCATCGACATCGTGATGATATTCTTCAGGGGCGTTGGTCCTCATTTTTCGTCCCTTTTGGTCATTCAATGACAAAGGGGGAGAAATGTGAGTTAGTCTTCAAGCGGGTCTCTATATATGGGCTTTTTTTGCTAAGTTACAACTCTCGTTCTTCTGAAGTATTTGTTGGATCAAGTTGTAAACTTAAGTCCTATGGTGGTTTGATACTTTTGCTCTATTTTTATGCATGATGTTTCCTCATATGTTAATGCACGCATGCTGAATTACATCAGTCACCATATTTCGTCATATATTTCAAATTCTTCATATCATATGTTAAATGCGTGTATAAATTACAAGATATAGGGGGAGATCTCCATGACTCTACTCTACAATGTGCATTGCTTTTCAAAGCAGATTCCTCACACATGCACATCTTCAGGGGGAGTTCTTCTATATCTTGTAATCAAATTCCTCAATATTAGTATTTAAACTTCATATGTCTATCCCCGTTGAAAACTTAACCTATATTGTCATCAATCACCAAAAAGGGGGAGATTGTAAGTGCAGCTACTGCCCCTTTATGATTTTGGTGTATTGAAGACTTATAGGTTAAGGAACTAATGTGTTTGTGAGTGTACACATATTTATAAGTCTATGACGAGTTTGATATTTACAAAGAAAGTCGACCCTTAAAAATGAATGTCTTCGACTGAAGACTTTGGCTTTCTGAAGACTTTGGCTTTCTGAAGACTTTGAAAGTGAAGAATTTGTTGTAACCATGAAGACTTGATATTCATGCGAGGATTATGAAGCGTGAAGACTTTTGTTTTCGTAGTTTTGTTTTTTCTCTTTCTTGAGTCATAGGAAACACCGTACTGTTAAAGGGGTCGAGGTAAAACTAAGGAAAAGTTTCCAAGTGATGCTCATCTCAAAATCCTACACCCACCAATCCTTTCGAGTGAAGCCTTAGGAAATCTCATACAATTTAGTCAATTTCTTCGGTGACAGAGACGAAGATCTTCTGGTCTCTGAGGAATTTGTGTGACTGAGGAGTTAGGAATTCGCCCTATAAGTGAAGAACATGATAGCCCTGAGGTAATTGAGTCTCAAGTTTCCGCCCGTTGCTGTGCTATGTGACAGCTGTCCTAAAATATCTACCCACCTAACGGTCATATCATTGAAGGGCATTTATGTCTTATCATGTCAGGCTGCTCTGAGAGAAACCGACACTTGTCATTGAGAGCATCCTATCCTCCGAGGACTTTGAGCGAAAATCATCAAGTGAGGAAAACCCAAACCCAAACACCTACAAAGCCAAAGTGATTGAGTATCGCTGAAGAGATTGTTCCTGTGTGGAACCGACGCTTGTTACCTTTGAGGACTGTGTATCCTTCAGACGGTTAGGCGTCATGGTCTAGAGCATCCAAGAGGAAATTGTGGATCGCCGAGTGACCGAGTCTGTGAAGGTTTGGAAGTCACCTGAAGACTTACCACGAGTGATTGGGCGAGGTTTGTGTGACCTTAGCTCAAGGAGAATACAGTGAGGACTGTGTGTCCTCGGGTTTAATTACCTAGCCGCTTCAACAGACGTACGACAGTCACAACAGTTGGAACCGGTCTACCAAATCACTGTCTTCACCGAGCTACTGGTTCTATTTCCTCAACCCTTCCATTTCCTCATTCACATACTGTTATACTTGATCGTTACTGTTTGAAGACTTTGTCTGAAGACTTTCTCAATTTTCTCAATTCTATTTCTTCAGTCAGTTTGTCTTCAGCCTGCTTATCATGTGTTTACGCTACTTGTACTCCGTGCTTGTTTTTATTTCATCATGATGATTGTGCTACTACTCTATTATACTTGCATCTGAGTACTTATTCCGCTGCTAAGTAGTTCGTTGCTTAGGAATTTCCTCACCCTGATATTTCTCAGCGACGAATTTATAGAAATCGCCTATTCACCCCCCTCTAGTCGACTTAACGCACTTTCAGGAAGCTATGAAGAGGTTTCTCAGATGCACAAAAACACGGCGCCACAATCCGGCGGCCACACCTGCAGTAGCCCGCGCGTACAATTCGACGCCCCAAATTTACAGCACAGTAGCCCGCGTGCACACCCGTGCGCTAAAATTTTCTATGCACACTTTATTTTACAGCGTCTGCTGGAGCGTGCCAACGGCCGCGCGCGCACCAAATTGTCGATTTTTGCAGCGCGCGGGATGTCTACCGCGCCTGTTGGAGATGCTCTAATATAAGAGCGTTTTTTACACTGGGAACCGAGGGAATACAAAATTGATTCTACTAATCGAACACTAGGATCGGGGTATATTGGTTGAAAAGATTTTTGAGTGAATTCAGTCCTTTAAACTAAAAAGGGAGGGAGCACTTATTTCGCTTTCACAGCACTAAGCTCCAGGGAGGCGGGCGTTGAATCGGCACTTGGCTAGTTGACCGAGCGGCCGCGTTGTCATCTCCAATTCCATCCATTTCTTGGCGACTCTCCTGGCGATGGGTTTCAGCGTCGGGGAGACGCTCGCGTCGTCGGTGGTGAAGGAGGCGGTGAACATGATCCGCGTCGCGGCCGAGCGCGAGGCGGGCCTGCTCTGGAGCTTCAAGGACGACCTGGGGGCCATGGGGGACACGCTGGAGACCATCCACGCGGCGCTCAGGGACGCGGACGCCGCCCAGGGGCCGGCGCCGGCGAGGATGGACGAGAGGACGCGCCTGCTGCTCGGGCGCCTCAAGGCGGCGGCGCAGGACATCGAGGACCTGCTGGAGGAGTTCGCGGACGCCGGCGCCCGGGGCCGCCGCAGCAACTGGCTCCGCGAGGTTCGTGTTTTTCGCATTCGCTAATTTGGCGCACCGGAAATTGACATGTGTGCATCACTAACTCTGAAGCTGCAGTTTCCAAAGTGTGCAATTTTGTTAGCAAAATGTCGCTTTCCCTAATTTGGGAGTGGTGTGGTGATGGTGGATTGTTGTTCAGAGGAATTATAAGCTAACTGTAATTTACACGAATGTTTTTTCTGTATCTTCACATATTACTACACACCTGTAACCTTCCTCCCATAGTTTGCATTATAGGCTGGACAGTATGTTTCATACTTCCATTTTCACCATCTTTTTCCTACTGAACGGGCGTTAACTACTGCCAACAGGGGTCTCGCTGCTGCTATAATATATCTCTGTCGCGCAGTATCTTGGCTCACAAAACGAGGAAGATGAGGGAAAGATTAGGAAGAATTCAAGCAGATGCTGGACTTGCTAGATCCCATGGTGGCACGAGCAGCAATCTCCATGATCAGGATGATGGTATCAGCCGAAGAGAAACATGGTCAGATTTCAGAGAATATATTGTGGGGAGAGAGGAGGACAGAGAAGCAGTAGTGAGCACTTTGCTCAGGCACACTGAGAAAGAGCTCTCTGTTATCTCGATACATGGCTTTGGCGGTTTAGGGAAGACGACACTTGCCCGGCTGGCCTTCAATGCTGAGCCTGTGATTAGAGCCTTCGATTGTAGGGTCTGGATTCATGTGTCTATGAAATATGATTTGATTAAAATTGGGAAGTCGATACTTTCCAAACTTGAAGCAAATTGTTCTGGTGATTTGGATCACTTGAAGACACAACTGAAAGGATTGCTCAAGGACAAGACTTTCTTGATCGTTCTGGATGACATTTGGGAGGAAGACCCGCATGAACTGGTGAAGTTGATGGATTTTCTGAATGTTGGTGCAAAAGGAAGCATGGTCTTAGTTACTACACGATATGAGAAAATCGCTATAAACATGGACCCTGTTCTATGCCACAGGCTGGACAGTTTATCTGATGGAGAATGTTGGGATCTTTTTAAGGAAACAGCCTTCGTCTCTGAAGCCAAAGAAGCAAGACTGCAACACATCGGCAGAGATATAGTAAAGAAGTGCAAAGGTGTTCCTCTAGCTGTGAGATCGCTTGCATTTATACTAAAATTCAAGGAAGGGGTTGATGAGTGGGAAGATATCAGGGATAGTCACCTCTGGGAATTGGAGGAAAAACAAGATATATCTTTTGAGAGTGTCCTACCATCATTGAAGTTGAGCTTTCAACATATGTCTGCCACCTTGAAATTATGCTTTGTGTATTGCTCTGTCTTCCCAAAAGGCAGTTACATTGATAAGGACTTGCTGATCCAACAATGGATTGCACTTGGGTTTATTCGGCTTAATGAGTCGTTCCATCCTGAAAGGCACGGTGAGGAGTATGTTAAACAACTTTTGGGGATGTCCTTCCTTCAGATTTCAACTACACAAACACCTGAGTCACCCTGTAGGCTTTTATAAATATTTTCTCAAGTTTAGTTTCATTCTGTTCCTTATCAAATACCAGATAGTCTCATACCATGATCCAGTTCCGAATTTATGGAAGCAGAAGAACCAATATGTGAATTCAATATGCAATCATAGGTGTAGATGTCATCCAAGTGTTGTGATTATTTATGAATATGCATCACTTGCAGCTACAGAACATTGTAGTATGTAGACTTGAAAATACGAGTGTATGTCGTGGGTGTTATCCAAACCAGCTCATCATACTTTTGTGTTGGATTGTTCTGTTGTTTTTGTCTTTAAAAGTGGAATTGCTCAGTATTTGGCTGGCACATGGTGTTTGTTTGTAACATTTTTCTTCCAGATTACCAGGAAATGTATTGAAGCACCAAATGTATTCTGTTTGCATGACCTAGTATATGACTTGGCAAGATCCCTGGCGATGGTGGACCTACTTTTCCTTGACACTGAGAGTAACCTTAAAGTTAGTTCCACACACAGTGATTGCCGTTATGCAGTGCTCACCAATTGCAGTCCAACAACTCTCCCTAACAAGATGATGCGAAAACTGAGGGCTCTCCATGTTAACGAATGGAAGCAAGAAAAGATCCCTAATAAAATATTTGCTACTAAATTCTTGAGAGTCTTGAATTTAAGTGGATGTTCTCTTTTGGTGCTGCCAAGTCGCATCAAACAGTTGAAGCTACTGAGGTACCTTGATGCTTCAGGAATGCAAGATAAAACGCTTAATCACTTGAGCAGTCTGCAGAATTTACAGGCATTAAAGCTCTCAGGTAGCTTGATTGGGGCACTTCCACAGGACATGGGTTCTCTTGAGAAGCTGCGTTATTTAAATCTGAGTGGTTGTTCTAATCTTTTGGTACTGCCAGAATCATTATGTAGTCTTGGAAACTTGCAGTATCTAGACATGTCAAACTGCTCTGCAGTTGCCTCCACATTTTGGCAATCTTTTTAGCCTGTCAACTCTGGATTTATCATCTTGTTGTGACTTAACAAAGCTTCCAGAGAGTCTCGGTAGCCTTCAAAAGCTTCGTGTTCTAGATCTTTCTAACTGTTGGAAACTTGATGCATTGTCTGATTCTTTTGCTAAACTTGATCATTTGAAGGGTCTAAATTTGTCATGTTGTTATGAACTTAAAGAGCTACCAGAACTATTTGGCAACCTTGAGACTCTGGATCTGTCAGATTGTCACAAGCTTCAGAAATTGCCTGAATCTATTTCTGGACTTAAAATTTTGAAGGTACTAATTCTATCTGACTGCTGGGAACTAACTGTACTTCCAGAGTCATTCGGGAATCTCAAACAACTCCAGTATCTAGACCTGTCAAGTTCTAAGATTTCTGCATTGCCTGAATCTGTTAGTGAACTTGTCAATTTAGAGTATATGAATATATCATGGTGCACGGATCTTCATGAGTTACCTGGTAACTATGGCAATTTAGTCAAACTTGAAGAGCTGAACATGTCATACATTGGCAATGGTAATGTCAACATTCCGAAGGGGATAGCTGAAATGTCTAATCTCAAGATTCTGTTGGCAGATGGCCTTGTCAATTGGTCATGGGAAAATGAAGAAGATATCGTGTTCTTTAATGCTTTAAGTAGCTCCAGGTCTAGTTTTTTCTTTACTGGGGAGAATAAACCAAGTGATTTAAGCATAAAGGATAATACTCTTCTAGTTGGAGATCTTGGGCGTGTGCAGAATCTTGCGGAAGTTGAGGAACTGCAATTATGGAAAAGGCGGCAGCTGCAGTCACTGATGGTCTCGGGGCATGGTTATGGGACTGGTACAGAACTAGCACAAGAACTTGTGCCTCAAGAGGCCGTGCTTGAGAAATTGCAACCTCCAAGGACACTAGAGCGGTTTGAATTGTTGGGCTGTACTTTTTGTACATTTCCTAGTTGGATGACAGACATTGCATCTTTCCTCCCAAACCTTGCTCACCTTGAACTACGCCATCTGGAAACATGTGTCTGCCTTCCACCTCTTGGACAACTGCCTAAGCTACATATGTTGGTGATATCTGACATGCCTCATATCAAGGAAGTCAATCAAGAATTCTCAGGGGGTGCTAGACCATTTCAGAAGTTAAGAAACATTGTGATAGAGAATATGCCAAACCTGGAAAAATGGCACACAGATGCTACTGTAAGTGGCAATGATGTGGAATTGATGTTCCCAGTTCTTCATCATCTGAAGATACACAAATGTCCAAAGTTGAGATTTCAGCCGTTCCTTCCTCGATCTGTGTCATTGGAAATTTATAGAAGCAATCAAGTTCTATCGTCAGGAGTTCAATCAACTGGCCTGCCAACAATAAGGGTGCTGATCGATTCCTGCACATTATCTTCTGATGGTTTGATAGGGTTGCAGTCTCTTACCTCCCTCAAGTTCCTCGGTGTGCGCCACTGCATAGGTCTGGATAACTGGAGAGATAGCATTGACATGCTAACTTCACTGAAGAGTTTAGATATAGCTATGAGCAATGTTCCTGAATGCTTGGGAGGTGTCACTTCACTGGAGTGTCTGAAAATCCGTAACTGCCCAGTAAATTATAACACTCTAGAGCAAGTACTACATCTTACTGCATTGGTGGACCTGTCAATTTGTTGTAGCCAACCGACTAAATTAGTAAATGAACAAGAGGTAAGAAGCATAATCAACAAGACACGTTTTTTCTTACTTTGACACGCTTCACTCTTCACAAAATGATACAGATCAGTATAGAAATCACATATATTTCAAGTAGGGCATTGCATGCTGTCATTTAACATTGTAATCTGTCAAATCATAGACCCATGAATTGAAAAGGATAATTTTGTGTGCCAACAATATGCAGTTTCTGGTGGAACCAGGTTTCAAGTAGAATTCTGAATGACAAAAAGAACACAAATGGACAATAAACCTCAACAAAATGTAGGAAAAGAATCATAGTTTCTGATAGTTTGGCATCTTCTTTTTACAGGTCAATTGGTTGACGAATATGCCATCCTGTCTCAAGAATCTTGTAAATCTTGAGCTTGACAGTTTCATTGGCTGTGACCGACTTCCCTTCCTTGGCTGTCTAGAAAAGCTACGTTCATTGACACTACGACAGATGCCTGATCTCAAGACAGTGCATCAGGATATTTCCGGGGGCAGCAATTGTTTGCCGATGCTACAAACCCTCAAGATAGGGAGCATGCCTAATCTTGAAAGGTGGACTACCGCGCATGCTACTGCAGCACATGCTACTCATGTGAGGATCTTCCCTGATCTTCAACTACTCAAGGTTTTTGACTGTCCAAAGCTTAAGTTTGTGCCATTTCTTCCAGTCTGCTCAAAGTGCATTATCAGTGTGACTAGTGAGGTAATAGTGCCGGAGCACCATGATGATCCTCCCTGGGACATGCCCACATCAGAACTATTCTGCTTCTATTTACATGGTAGATGCACAGGACTCCAATACTTCAAATTCCTGAGATTACTATCAGTTTATGGCTGTACAAATATGAGCAGTTGGCAAGAAAGCATCCTCCTCCTTACCTCCCTTCAGAAACTGGAGTTGCATGAGAGCGACATGCCTGGATGGTTGTGTAAACTCTCCTCGCTGTGTGAACTTCACATCATAAAGAGCAAACCACCGCTCAACCTATCCCAGTTTGTTTATGATCGTCACCAGATTGCCTTAAGAATCGAGGATTGCCAGGGGACACTCAAGCAGGTGCCTTCTGTAGTGATTTTGGACATGATAAGACACATCACTTCTGTGGAAATAATTGGTGTAAGTTCTGTTCAGCACCTTAAATATACGGACATACCATTTTTTAATGTTTTTGATACAAAAGTTACACAATTACTTTCTTCCTAATTGTTAGCCGATGTCAAGGTAACTGTGCAAGATCCATTTCTGAATTATACTTTTCACCTGTGCTATTACTTGACACCCCATGCAGAAGTGTGATGTGCTTCTTTTTATGCGCAAGATGCTATCGAAACAATGATTCTGTAACACCATACTAGTAACTAGAATTCCAAATCATCCTCTTCTTTTGGGTAACATTCATGTAATCAAACCATTTTTCCTTAAAAAGATGTATTTAAATATTGTGCAGCGCAGTCAAACAGTGACTTCAAGATTTTGGGATAATCTTATTTCATTCAGTGACATGACAAGATGGTCACTTCCATCCCTCATCTTGTTCTAATGCTCTAGCATTTTGACGTCAGTGTGAGCCAATAATGAATGCAGAGTGGCGAAATGGTGAACTCTTCAAGTGCAAACTTCGAAAGTCCAGTGAGGTCAGTATGGCTTGATTGACCTACTTAAATGCTTTGGCTCATGTAGACATCAGATTGACCTTGTCGGTCTAATTTAAAGCACCTATTTACCCTCACTCATAACATTTATCATGTTACTCATTACTCTTGGTGTAGTATTCATTATGATTATTCTAGTCCCGTACACAAACATGGAAGCACTCATATGGATACGGAAGGACATGGATATCTCACGAAATGATGGTGAAAAGTCACCTTGGAATCATAGAATGTCATGTACGGATATACCCGAGGTCAATTCTTTGAAGCTAGTTTGACAATATACTAGAGAATGGAGGCAGCACATGGTAGGGCTTTAGGGGGTGTTTGGTTAGGTTGGAGGTGGCTTTTGTCTTATAAGAAAAACCCAAAAGAAACATGTTTTTTGTAACCTGTTTATGTTCTTTTGGCTTTGGCTTTTGGCTTATACTACTAGCTCTATGCTTTGGAAGAAGCTTGTATTTCAGAAGGGTTTTTTTTTTTTGAGAGAGAAGAAACTTCTT